AAAGGGATGACTTGAGGCTTATAAAAAGAAGACATCTGATGATAGATAGGAAAGAGAAGATATTGAGAGAGAGGGGGGATTAGGAATAGATATACAGAGGGGGACACACAGAGAGAGAAAGAGGGAGAGGGAATTGTGAAGAAAAGTATAGGGGGCACCTGATATTAGAGAGCATATATNNNNATTACATTCTTAAATTCGGGTGCACATTGATGTGACCCAAATTCAAATCTCAACGGAGTCGAAATGTGTTAACAACTACGGGTGCATTGATTGTGACGTGGTTCGAGATGCATTTTCACGACGTTGCAATTCTATAAAAATAAATGATAATAATAAAAGCGGTTTAAACTTAATAAAAGCACATAAGTCACAACATGTATTTAAATCAGATATTTAGCCATTATAACAATTTAAGCGACCGTGCTAGAACCACGGGATTCGAGGGTGCCTAACACCTTCCCTCGGGTCAACAGAATTCCTTACTTAGAATTTCTGGTTCGCAGACTTCATTTGGAAAAGTCGAAAATTTCCTCGATTTGGGATTCAAGATAAACCGGTGACTTGGGACACCAAAAACCAAACCTTTCCCAAGTGGCGACTCTGAATTAAATAAATAATCCCATTTCGAATATTGTCACTTAAATTGGAAAAACTCCCTCGCGCATTTATCCTTCGGGGCCGGGCGCGCAAAAAGGAGGTGTGACAACCATAACCGAGGTCGATTATTGTGTAAATGGCTGTAACGGTCATTATTTGAAGTAAGACATTGAAGAGAATATTCCATTGGATATTCTCTTCACTTGTACTATTAGGGTTTGTTAGAGACATGACTTGTATAAATAGAAAAAAAGAGAAGGGGATACGACATGTAATATTCACTTGATAAGAATAATTTTCAGAGGAACATTCTCTCTCTCTAGCAAAGATACAAGCTTTACCCTTTCTCCAATATTCACACTCACATTATTTCATACTTTTCCATCAGATCCGAATTTAGTTCAAATATTTTAGGATTTGTCTGTCACTCATCATTGTCAGAGGGAACAATTATCTATCTCATTCATTATTGGGTGAATCGTTCTCTATATTCACTTAAATGCCAATTATTGCTATTTATTGCTTATTATTCCCCCATTATTGCTCACACAATATCAAATGTGTATTACTTTTGATCTCAAACTGATGCTATCTTACGTTATCTGTATTGTCAAGCTTCGTATCTAGAGAATATTATCATTAACTAAGTTTAATCCTCCATTACATAAAATTTAATAGTTTTACCAAAAGTTTATACTTTTTGGTCAAATAATTGTCCCATATAAAAGGTGGGATAGTTGATCCTACGGATATTTCCCCATGAATATCATGTTTTATCCCATATTTGTACCAAATGACCCCTTAGCACTTTCCTTTTGTTTAGTCCTTGCTTAAGCATTTATAACTGAGAAAGCACATATATAAAGGAATGGATATGTCATTACTCAATTTGGATACAAAGGATATGTACTAAGGCCTCTCTCTGATGACTTTTTTGGTGATTCTAATAGAAGGGTAAGGGTCATGCCAAACTCCCCTCCACCTCAAGGATAATTTTTAAAAAGTAATTTTATTTAGAGAAGAATGTTCACTCAAAATATTGCTTGTCGGTAAAGGTGGCAAAATAGTTAAAAGAAAACAGTTATCCACCCATATTATTCATAAAAAAATGGGTTGGATAATGAACTATTTAAAAATGGATCGAATATGGATACGAACCATATCATCCACTTAGAAATGGATAGTCAAATGGATAATCAATGTATAACTAATAGGCTTAACTTTTAACATTTGTAAAGCCTCAAATTGGGGGATTCCTCAAGTTTGGGAGACTATGAATTCTCTTAAAAGTGACCATATTCAAGAAGCCATGAATAATATGGATATCCATATTATCCGCTGGATAACCCATTTTTTATCCGTATTAAATATGGATCGATCAGGTCAGATAATTTACCTCTTTTTTTAATTACCCGTTTTCAACCCGCTCATATCCGACCTGACCCGCCAGTTTGCCACCCTACCTACCTATAATACTATAAATCAAATTAGAGAGAACTAAATGAAAGTCCAAGGGGTTGAGTGGTGGATGGAAGTTAGGGAGAGAGGCATGAGAAAGAGAAGAGGAAGAGAAAATCAAGAAGATCGGAGCTTAAAATTTCTAAGTTGCTATGTTTTAAAAATCTTGCTATATTAGGTAATTATGTGCAAATGTTCCTAATAGTGGTAATTAGGGTACCAATTTTGCATATCTAGATAATTTCCCTATTGAAAATAATATAATCTGGACCTCACGAAATTTGACCAAATATATTAATTATTAAGGATAAAATTGGCAAATAGAAACTTTTAACACTTGTAACCAACATAGTCACTATTTTATTTTATATACTTAGCGTCACTATTTTAAAAGTTAATACTATTTAGCCACTTTTTTTATACGAAAAATGTTCACACTTAGGAGAAGCAACTGATGCAATAGCTGAACTCTCTGTTTTTTCGCCGCCAAGAATGTCCTCCCGAAAAGTCTAGCAATTGCTAAGATATATGTAAAATTAAATAATAACAATAAAAAACCTTTGTGACTCTAATGAAGTTAAAAATAAGCAAAGCGATTTAAATGGAGTGAAGAATAATGCTGTTTGTAATGGATTTTAATTGGTATAAGTGAGAAGCACTAATGAATCTAATTTGTGGTTGCTACTATTTTGATGAAGCTAATAAAACGACGACAATGTAGAATGCTCCGGCACCGTATGCATCTACTCAGTTAAAACGGGAAAGAAAGAAATCGTGATAGTTGTTGGAATATATACTATTAACTTTAACTATGTCTTTAGAAGTAATATTTAGTCTAACTAAAACACGAAAGAAAGAAAACATTTCGAGAAAAGTGTGATTATTCTTCTCTAATGCAGGGGCGAATCTATTTTTTTAGGCGTGGATTCATTTGAATTCCTAACTTTTAGCTTAGTATATACTTGTATTTATCTATGTAAAATTTACTGAAATTTCTAAAAACACTAAACTATAAATCAATAACTCAAACAAGGCAATAGATTCAATTGTTAGAATTTGAGTCATGAATATATAAAATTAAAATTTTGAATCCGCCTCTACTCTTATAGCTCTATAGATGGTAAGTTGCTAAATAATGACGGCAGGTTATCACTCAAGTACGTGCTATCATGGTCCTTCTTTTCTCAGATAACGAAAATTGGAAGGGAATTACTAGTACTGATGAGTCAAGTATTTTTGTCTCCTTATGAATTCAGCAAATTTTCAGATCTTTGAAATTTATTGTTTAAACAAAAACAATGTATTTAGTCTTCTTATATTTCACAACTCATGTTAGAAAAATCAGCAAAAGAATTAATAGGGAGGGTAAGGGTAAGAGAAGGACGAGGAGTTGTAGAGTTTCACTTGCTCATGAATACTATTTATAATAAAGTAATTATTATAAATCTCTAAATCTGAGTAATTAGTAATATGATAAATATGATAATTAATTTACTTTCAGATGTTAAATATATTGCTAATCTTAAAAACAGAAAAGGGCCATATCTACCTCTCTACTATCGAAAATAATTTGTCTCCTAAAGTTCGAATTACATCTCAATATGGTCTATATTTTGTTTCATAAATCAATAACATCCCCGTAAAATGTTATTCACATCACTAGAAGGTAACGTCCAAATTTAGCTATTTGCCCCTTAAATGTCCCTCAAAATTAGCTATATAAAAAGAATTATATAGGTAAATTTTTAATTAATTTTAAACCTTAAATATTAGAATTTTCTTACATATATAAATAGTTCAAATAAGAAAAAATTTATTATGCATATTGTAGTTAATTTCTAAATTCTAAATATTAGAAAATTAATTAAATAACTATACCTACATATTAGGAAAATAACTTAAATTACTACTTTATCCAAACTGAAAATAGTTTTTCAGGGGTTGCTATTGTTCGCGCTGGCTCTAGATTATCTGCGCCTTAGCCCGCAAATTTGGGGGCCCCATTTTTAAAATATAATAAATTTATATGTATTTAAAAAATAATATTTAGTATTTTTAGTACAAAAGTAGAGTTTTCTTATAACCGCTGCCTTAAAGATTTTTTTTTTTTCAAAATTATAATTGATAAAATCTTACCTAAAATCAATAATGTGTCAAAAACAATTAAATGGATTGATAGTATTATCAATTAAAAAGAAATTATTAATAATTTTACATCTCAAATAGCTAGAAAAATAGACTTCCAATAAAATTATGAAAGAATTACAAGAAAATACACTTGACTTCACACCATAACAAAAAATGGCCCATGTTTTTAAGTTTTACCTGACCTAGCTCATATTGTACAACCAGTGCTTCTAAAAGCTATGGAGTTAAATTTGTGTTCTCACAACTATTGCTTTCACTCTCTATTTTCTCACATCTTCTACATATGCTTCAAGGGCCGTCTGCCATTACTGCTTCTCCCCTTATGTCATCTGGTTGCAATGTAAGAAAATTGAAGAGTAGAAGTCCATCATTGAAGGCCATTCAAAGCTTTGTTTTCGAAAATCTGATTTTTTGAGTTTGTTAGTTGTTTGGATTGTGTGTTGTTCCAATTGATTGAAAATATCAAAAGGAGTTCAAAATTTAAATTTGAAGTGATTTTGAGTAGTTTTAAGCAAGATTTGAGTTAAATTTCAGAAAAGATGTAAAGAAAAAGATGAAGTCACTTTTTTATTTATTTTATAATTATGTATAATCTTGTATAATAGTGTATATGAGTGTATAAACACATCTTATACACTATTATACACTTTTATAATAAAAAATAAATTTCTATTTATTTTTTCTTTTCTTTCCAATATTTTCCAACTTCAAAGGGCAAAACTAGAAAAGAGGGCATTACACAACCTGAAGAACACCACTGCCGCCTCTCCTTGTTCACCGCCACCGCCGAAAGTCACTGCCTGCGGCCTTTTGCCTCCATTCCGTCTTCAGACGTAGGTATCTTCTTCTCCTTTTGTGTTTTTTTTTCGTGCAGTTTATGGCCGTGAGTCGTCTAACTTCTGCTGTTATGGTTTTTCAATTGGAGTATGATTAATGAAGACTTACAGTGATTTGTTATTTGTTAATATGTTGTTGAGTTATAAATTTTTGTCCTTTAAATGGTATAATTCGTCTTTCTTTTCTTACACAATTTTAAATGGCTTCAAATTGGATTTTTTTTCTCTGTAATTAAAAAAGTAACGTTACATTGGATTGTATATGCCTTTGAATGAATTATTTGACAATCCGGTTATGTGTGAGGTCGGGTAGTGTCAGACCATAAGGGTCTATTATACGCACTTTTACCATGCATTTCTCCAAACAACTGTTTTCACGGCTCGAACCCGTGACCTCGTGGTCACATAAAAACAACTTTACCATTTATGCCAAGGCCCTTAAAGTATGAGAGTCACAAACTTCCTCAATAAGTTAATATTAAATATGTTTTGCTTCATACGTCTTTTTTTATCATCCCGATAAATTTGCTGCTTTGAGTATTGAAAAGTTGAAGGGAAATATCCAGAGTCGATATTTGTGAGAGATTATTTATTTGTCTTTGGAAAATAAAGAGGATTATTAAATACTGGAATAAAAAGAAAGAATTCGGAGAAAAATTACTTTTCTGTTTGCTTATAGTCCCTTTTCAGTAACGTTTGTTGATTTGAAGTTACTGTCTTAATAGAACCAACTGTGGAGAACCGCTAAATGGAAGAATCCAAAGAAGAAGTGAAGTCTTTCAAAGAATTGGGTGTTTCTGATCAACTGATTGAGGCTTGTGATAGTTTGGGTTGGAAAACCCCTTCTAAAATACAAGCTGAAGCTATTCCTCATGCCTTTGAAGGTCTTTTCTTCTTCCCTTCTTTATGTTTTTTCATCTCTGCCTTTACCACACGTTCTACTCTTTTTTGCTTATCTTTTACTTTTTTTCTCCTTATAAATATGATATTTCGAGTGGTTTTAAGATTTGTGCTAATAATTCAAATAGGTTTAAAGTTCTACGCTGATTATGCTAGATTGCTGGTGTGTTTTAGGTCTGTTTTGGGTTGTGGGGTTGAAACTTCCACTATCCTATTTTGCCCGTGGTAGCAAATCGTCTGAAGACGTGATTTTGTGGAAGCCATTGTTTGAGAAGTACAGGAAAATCTTAGCTTTATGAATAATAGAGAAGTGCGAAATAGAGACGTAACATTTTATTGTAGAAATCTGGATAAAGCAGCTTTATGCAATTGCCTCAAGTGATAGTATTTGATACAATCCAGTGTAATGGAACAGAATATTTTTGAACTAGAAATTCTTTAGGAACTTGAAAATTTGAAATGACAAGGGAAAGGTAATGTGGGTTTCCTGTAAGATCCTTATATGACTGCTAGCTGGTCAGAAATCATGTCTGTGCAATGCAAATTTTCCACTAAGTTATGGAATATAATGTTGCATTTGAGGGACGTTTGGTGGACCATGCAAAATTCAGTCAAGCAAGTAATGTGAGTGCTGCTAATAAACTAGTAGGGGGTGAGCTTTGAAGTCCACATATATTGAAGTTGAAAATTTGGAGAGAGAGAGAGAGAGAGAGTTCATTTTCTAAATTGCTGGCATCACATTTTCTTATCTGTCATTGGACTTCAAAGCACTCAAAAGTGTTCCAATTTGTATAGTAGATTGGAAGACTTTTCTAAAGAACATTATTTGTATTTTGATCCTTTTTTATTGTTTAAACCTTTTGTATATCATCCTCTATTTGGTGAAAGTATTTTTTCTTATAAACTGTTTGATTGGGTTCTGTTCTAGGCAAAGACTTAATTGGTCTGGCTCAAACGGGTTCTGGAAAGACTGGAGCTTTTGCAATTCCTATACTGCAAGCCCTATTAGATTCTCCGCATGCCTTTTTTGCCTGCGTTCTCTCTCCAACAAGGTCGCTTATTCGTCTGATTACTTGTCTTATTTTGTCGAAGCTCTTTGGTGATTTAATTTCCAACTTTTTTCTTTGTGTATTCCAGAGAGCTCGCGATTCAAATTGCTGAACAGTTTGAAGCTTTAGGATCCGGTGTTGGAGTAAAATGTGCAGTGGTGAGCTTGACTAAGTCATATTTACATGCATGAACAATTCATTTTCCCCTTCAAATGTAGTCCAAAGGGTTGATAACCACTTGTTAGACAATAGGTATTTGTAGCAACATGTCTGTAGACAGGGTAGAGCATGTCAGAATTGAAACAGTCATATATGATGGTTGACATTGGCATTCAGCTAGACATTTTTTTTTGTTAAAAGATTGCTGATAATTGTTTCACAGCTGGTTGGAGGGGTAGATCAAGTACAGCAGAGCATCAACCTTGGGAAACGGCCTCACATTGTTGTAAGTACTAACATTTACTACCACATATTTGTGTCTCTTGTTAAGATGAAGCAAGTAGAAATGGAGCTACAGATGGTAAAATCTCTTTCGAAAGATTTATTATAAGGCAATACTACTATGTCAGGCAGAGTTGGTGGTGTAATATAAACTTGACCTTTTTAAAAAGAGTTGGTGGTGCAGTATTCATATGGCAGTGCATGTTTAGGGGACAGAGGAGCACCAGCTGCAGTTTACCTCTGATGCTGTTGCTTCAGTATACCATCCCAGCCTTGACTAAGCATGTCAGGTCACTGTAGCCGCATGCTATTATTTGGACTGTGCAGTTAGCTCCATAAGTTTGTGATGTCTCCTTTAAATAATTTTGGGGGTCATCTGTTTTTCTATAGATGTATAAAATATTCCAGACTAGATGTCAAATAGTTAGTTACCCACCTATCCAAAAAAAGTCACTTACCTTGCCCCCGTTGTTTGAAACTGCATTCTCTTCTCAGCTTTTTGTTAAAGTTGTTGCCTATATTTTGCGAGAAGGGATCCTAATCCTGCTAGGCCTTTACTGGATGTTAGCTGCCTTTTCTTCTTAGATTATCTGATAGGAAATGTGCTTCTGTGTTGACTTTGCAAAATGCCTTGGCTTATACAGAAGTCCTCATGAATGATTAATATCCATACCTCTTTTGGAAGAGGTAGTTGATGGTTGTAAAAGGTTGATGATGAATCCTTTTAGCAATCTAAGCAAAAACAAAATTGGTGTACCATTGGCCTTGCCTTGGCAAATCTGTTTGTTCAGTTTAAACCATGTTCATTCAGCACCATGCCACATCCTAGGATTGTAAGATCAGTGACCTTTTTCCTTATGAGAGGCTCAAAAGTATCTATCCGAAAGCTCAGGTTTTTTTTGATAAGGTAAATTGTATTAATCAAAAGGGAGAGAACTCCCGTATACATGAAGTATACCAAAGAGTAGAGAATTTACATCAGAACACGATTCTCTACAAAAGACTATTAAGATTATCTATCCGAAAGCTCATGTTATAGAAGTCTTTAGTGGAAGTAATAGATTATCAACTATTAAGTGAGTGGAATTAATATAATATCAGCTATTAAGCGTACTGAGATGGGCAACCATCCCTACTTGTATCTGTGGACTATTTGGAGGGAAAGAAATCAGAGATGTTTTTTGAACAAAAAGGAGAATATTTACAAATTGCAACAGCCTTTTCTGTCAGCTTTTTGGTTCAAGTTAAAACATGTACACGATATTGATAGTTTACTAGATTTCTTCAACCAGCAGACATGTTTGTGCAGTCAGAGGCCGTGTTTTTGTAGGGTTCCTTAGGTATCATTATGCATCATCTTGATGCAACTTACTGATACAACTCTTGCAGTCTTGCTTACCTAAAAAAGAAAACTTCTAAGTGTACTCAGTCAAATATTTTGCTGGTTTATTTTCAACATCCAAACATCTATTCTGTTGCCTTGTCAGTTTAGTAAGCCATGTGGACGAGTTGTTACACCAGATTTGCTAAAGCTATTGTATGTTATTACAGATTTTTTAATATGCTTAATCTCTGACATTTATTTGAGTGCGCATTTGCATGCTGTCTGATGTAGGTGGCAACTCCTGGTCGGCTACTGGATCATCTTTCCAATACTAAAGGGTTTTCTCTTCGTACGATAAAGTACTTGGTAAGTTTGTCCATTGAGTCTTATGCTGAAAATGTTCCAGAGGTGTTCTCGTTCTGCCTGTTTATGCACTTTTTTTGTTTTCTTTTGGATAAAAACCCTAAAGTGCAATGTTGATTCACGAAATTTGGTTGAAGGATATCATATGTTATTATGTCACTGTTGACATTAAAAGTGATATTTGCTGCATGTTCAAGGCTAGGCCTTTTGATGTCTGGCAAGTGATATGATTTTCGAATGCTGTCTGGTCCATATTCCCCACAGCGTGCATACGCCCGTTTGGATTGGCTTGTTTTAAGTGCTTTTAAGTCAAAATAGCTTTTAAGCCATTTTGTAGTGTTTGGATAAAAAAGTAAAAAAGTGCTTTTAAGCACTTGTCTATATATTATTAAAAGGAGAGGATAAAGCCGTCTCCTTAAGCCAAGTGGCAGCCTAAAAAAAAGCCACATGGCATAATTAATTACTAATTAGTTATTATTTTTGAANATATATGTTAATTGGTTACTTTATTTAAATTAATAAATATAAATATCTTATAATTAGTTATAATTAAAAAAACGAAAATATAAATATATATAAAAATAACTAGGGAAAATTTCACATAAGAACAACTGGGCTCCCTACTTTTCAGTTTTATAGCCCATATTTCAATTTACAATCAACTAGCCCCAAAATAATAGGCTAATACTCAACATTCAACTCCAATAGGTTCTCAAAATTATTATTTAATTTTTAAAAAAGATTGCTCAAGCTTTTAAGTTAACTTTCGAATCAATAACTGTGACTCAAATATTAGTTCAACAAACCAAATCCACTTGGGTAGTGAAAATTAGATTTTTAACAAGCTTAAATATGTGGGTTTAAATTCTAAATTTGATTTCGTGAGAATTTTGGAGTGGGTATTGTTTAAACTTGTTAGAAATAGTATAAGGAGGTTGTATAAAAAATTGAAGTAATTTAATGGAGATTTGGACTAGTTTTGAACAAGAATTGCAACTGAAAATCGTGGAAGAAGTTCGTCTACAGACGTTTGTATAAAGGTGTATAAAAGTGTATCATAGTGTATAAGATGTGTTTATACACTCATATACACTATTATACAAGATTATACAAAAAACTGACTTCGTTTTCTTCCTTGCATCTTTTCTGAAATTTAACTCAAATCTTGCTCAAATCTACTCCAAATCGCTTCAAATTTAAATCTTGAACTCCTTTTGATATTTGCAGTCAATTGGAACAACACCCAATCCAAAACAACTAACAAACTCAAAAAATCATATTTTCGAAAGCAAAGCTTTGAATGGCCTTCAGTGGTGGACTTCTACTTTTCAATTTTCTTACATTGCAACCAGGTGACACATGGGGAGAAACAGAAATTACTCAGCCCCTTGAAGCATATGTAGAAGATGTGAGAAGAAGAGAGAGTGAAAACAATGGTTGTGTTAAATACATATTTAACTCTATAGCTTTTAGAAACAATGATTATAAGAACACAAATTTTGAATTTTCTAGGGCTTTCAAAATATGTACAATATGGGCTAGGTAGGGTAAAACTTAAAAACATGGGCCATTTTTTGTTATGGTGTGAAGTCATGTGTATTTTCTGTAATTCTTTCAAATAACTACCCATTCAAATTGGGTTGGAGTAGTTTCAAGTTGGAGTTTTAAAATTATTTTAAAATAAGAAAACGAAAATAAAGCAATACAAAAACCTTTTGATTCAAATTGTGGAATAGTTTCTTTCTAATATTGTAGTGTGTGTGTGTGAATATATATATATAAAGAGAAGTAAATAATTATATGATGCCAAGTGGTATAACCATAAGACAACAAGTGACAAAGCTCCAACAAAGTTGGAACTCTTAAAATTATTTTATAATAAAATTGAAATAAAAAAAATTAAAAATTGCTAATTCAAATCTATATCTATATGTTATTAAAAGCCAAAAAAAAAAAGACACCACATTAATCCAAGTGGTAGCCTAGAAAAAATCCACATGGCAAAATTAGTTAATAACAAAGAAATTATCTATTGAAAATTAACAAAGAAATTAACTACCTAAACTAACTACCCAAGGTGAGGGTTGGTTTAGGTTAGTTAATTTCTTTATTTCATTTTTTAAAATCATTTTCGTTTTCCTTTTTTGAAATAAAAAGTGTATTTATTCATTAAAATTCTAACAATATTATTGAGAAAAGTACAATAACATTTAAAATAAAAAATATATTTTCAAGAGTAATAAAATATATATCTACTATTATATTACAAAAAAAATTAGCAGACAGAAATATTAAACAAGTAATATGCTAATAATCTATCTATATATTATTAAAAGCCAAAGAAAAAGGCACCACATTAATTCAAGTGGTTGCCTAGAAAAAAGTCGCATGGCATAATTAGTTAATACTAACAAAAAATTATTTATTGAAAATTAATAAAGAAATTAACTACCTAAATTAATTTCTCAAACATGGGTGAGGGTTGGTTTAAGTTAGTTAATTTCTTTATTTTATTTTTTAAAATCATTTTTGTTTTTCTTTTTTGAAATAAAAAATATATTTTTTCATTTAAATTCAAACAATATTTTTGAGAAAAATATAATAAAATTTAAAATAAAAAAATATTTTCAAGAGTAATAAAATATATATCTTTTATTATATTACAATATTAGCCGACAAAAATATTAAACAAGTAATATGCTAATAATTTATATTAACAATATAATTATGCTAAATATTGGATAATATAATAAATAAAAATACATAACAAAAAAGTTATTTGATGACTATATAAGTCCCCTTTAATTTAATAGAGATTTTATTCATTAAATTCAGACAATATTTATTCTATTTATATAGAATAGGAGAAGCAAATCATTGTGATAATTCCAAATGTAACGTCAAAAAATTAACAAAGTGACAAATTTTAGGACAAAGCTCCAACAAATTTGGAGATTGAAAAATTATATACAAAAAAAAATGATAAAACAGACACAACAAAATTAACTACCTAAAATTAACTACTCAAACATGGGTGATATAATACAGATAAATGCACAAAAAAAAAATGATTCGATGACTACATAAGTTCCTTTAATTTAATCGAGAATTTGTTCATTAAAATTTAGACAATATTATTGAGAACAATAGAATAAAATTTTAAAAAAAAATTATTTCAAAAGTAATAAAATATATATCTTCTATTATATTACAAAAACAAAGTAGCAGAGAAAAATATTAAATAAAGTAATATGCTAATAAAAATTTCTATTAACAATGTAATAATACTAAATATTGGATGATATAATAAAGAAAAATACAAAACAAAAAATAGAATAAAATTCAAAATAAAAAAATATTTCAACAGTAATAAATTATATATCTTCTCTTATATTACAAAAAGAAAGCAAGCAGACAAAAATAGTAAACAAAGTAATATACAAACAAAAATTTCTATTAACAATGTAATAATACTAAACAATGGATAATGTAATAAAGAAAAATATAGAACAAAAAAGTTATTCACTAACTATATAAGTACCTTTAATTTAATAGAGATTTTATTATTGGGTATATTGTATTGACAAATAAGATGACAATTGAAATTTGTTAAAGCAATACCGTCTAATAGGATCAAACAAGCCCGATCATAATTTAATTTAATTAATATTTTTTTAATATTGACCGCGCATCTCGCGGGTACGACTATTAGTTTTAAGCTAAAATGACAAAAATAAGCCAAAAACTAGAATTCCTAACTTATGGCTTTTGGCTTAAAAGTCACTTAAAACAAGCCCATCCAAACGGGCTCTATATCTCTTGTCAGTGGAGAAGCTGCTTGTCATTTTTTCCTGGCTGCATTGGTAAATTTTGTTGGTCTTTACTTTTTAACTTTCCAACATATTGAGCCGCAGAAAGCATTTGACTACTTTACTTGATATGTTCCTCTGAAACTTGCTTGTCTCCATGTGGGTTGACAGTTAAATGCTTTTCCCCCAACTACAGCATGAGGCACAATCGCTTCATCGCCTTAGCTGCGGACAATTGGACCAAGCAAGAAATTCATTAATTGAAGCAATATTTATCCAAAAATAAAATGCAGTTCATTATATGTGATTCGATTGGTATTCAGACTTGTATTAGAATTCCATATTTTAATATCTTGATTTCTATTCGTAACCAAGTCTAGGTTTAAAAAAAATATAAATATGTGTTTCACAACAGATTATTTTAGCTGGATAAGAGCATGCATGCATATTCTGAGTCATGAATTTGTCCATGCAACAGGTATTGGATGAGGCAGACAGGCTGCTAAATGAGGATTTTGAAAAGGCCCTTGATCAGATTTTGCATGCGATCCCTCATGATCGAAGGACTTATCTATTTTCTGCTACAATGACCAAGAAGGTTTGTTTTCACGTGGTTTATATGAATCCGTTGTTAATTATAAATAGTCTATTCTCTGTGTGGACAATTCTCTTTCTAGGTTCCGTTCTTAAGAGAAATTCCCTTCTCTGATGGCTGGATAGGTATCTTTTCCTGAGTACTTGGGTAGGAAAAGTGCTTTCATGAAAATTTCCTTTTTTTATTTTCCAAATATCATGCTCGGTCTGCCATTTATGAGAAGATACCATAAAATGGAGGAGCTTTTGACTTGTTTTTGAACTTTTTCTCATATTGCCATGCAGCTAATGATCAGTAATCATTTTTATGGCAGTAGATGCACGTATTCTCTATATCATAATAGCAATATGATTATTACATGAAATTGTCTAGGAAAGAAAAATGAGAAAGTGGGGTTCTTGTGAATGGCAATTGGCAAGTTAATTTGCTCCTGTTCTGCTTTCCTCCTCAAGGAATTTATTTCCATGCTTAATAGTTTCTGCTGTGTCACTCTTGATGAAACCTTAGAGGAGTGAACTTTGTTGCATGGGAAGTCTGATTCTAAATATATCTGTACATTGAACTACAGGTAAAGAAACTTCAGAGGGCTTGTTTGAGAAATCCTGTTAAGGTACAAATATAACGATGCCAATTTTCACAGTATAATTTGTAGGTGGTCAAGAGTATTTTGCGTAACTTTGCTTATAATTTGTTTCAGATTGAAGCTGCATCTAAGTATTCCACAGTTGATACACTAAAGCAGCAGTTTCGTTTTCTTCCTGCCAAGTATAAGGTTTGTTCTTTAGTGAAAAGTTTCTCTTATAGGTTTGTTTGGGAGAAAGCAAGCCAAGTGGCAAGCATTGTATCCAGCAATTGGCTTAATAATGATGTTCCATGTAAATTACATCTTGTTGATGACAATCGATGTGCTTGAATTTATCTGCTTAAGCGCCGAAGGTGTTCAGAGAAAGTGTATTCCTACTACAGAACACTATATGTGTTGCTGTGCTCTCATAGTAATCATCATTATGTGGCTAAAGGATGTGGGAGTTTTGACATTGTGGCACCACTAGAATAAGATACAATCACGTGGATAAAAGAGGGAAGAGACATGATCATTATGATTGTGCTGCTAACTTAGTTTTACAAAATAATAACTAGGATGACCAGTCACTCTTTACAAGATTCATATTTGTAGCTTTCCCAAAAGTATTAATCATGAAAGTTTAAGTAGTTGCATCTCTTGATTATTTGAAGTGAAAGTATTAATCATGAAAGTTTAAGTAGTTGCATCTCTTGATTCATATTTGGCCAGGCTTTACCTCCTCTTTCCCTGGTGAGCAGACCTTTTTTGAGATTTAATGTATGGCTTACAACATTGGAACTGAGAGGAAAATTAAGTGAAGAAGTTTTGTTGAATTCAAAACAAAACATTAGGGTTTCTGCATGAGATAGGGGTAGGGCGAAGGGGAAAGTGACGGCACGGAGTTGGCAGGGAAGAATTCTGGTGAGTTTCACTATAGGACACGGGGCACTGCAGGTTGGAAGCTTCTGCAAAGGGGAGGGATCTAGCATTAGGAGCTGTGCTACAGTGATGGGGTGCAAGGTGTTAGATTAGGCATGGTGAACAAGAGATGAGTGATGGAAAAGGGTGTGGGGTCAGATGATAGAGCATGGAAGGCTCTTGGGAGGGGGAGGCAGCAGGGAATTCAGAACCTGCTAAGGTGGAGAGGTAGGTTGCGAAGGGTGGCCTTAATAGCAATATGTAAAATAGCATCTTTAAAGCTCGGTATTGGCAAATCCAGTTTATTTGAAATTAAAAATTATCAAAAGGACTAGTTTATCTAATTCCTTCTCAAAAAGGACGACTAGTTTAGCTAGTGCCCGAGCAGGCGTCGTAGCTAGGAATCTCGCTAAGGGTGTTCAAACTTTAAAGAAGTTTATAATTTTTTTTCGATTGACGGATGCACCGAAAATTTTAAATCAAACTAATATTTAACTAATAAACCATAAAAACAATTACTATAATAGAAATACAATTTTATAAATCAAAACTAACATAAAAAGTGAACCAAAAAAATTCTAGTAAGCAACCAAAGGAAAGATAGAGTTGAGAGGGTTTTTACCCTGTAAAGAGCTTTTTGTTAAAGAAATTTTTGTAGAGCTTGACTTTTAAATTTTACAATTTATTTAATAAGCACTTTTAATTAATAAAATTACTTGATTAGTTGTTTGTTTTTACACAAATTTAACCTTCAACAGTTATTTATCAAGAAATTTATGGATTAAAAGAGAAGAGCCAATTATACCAAACATGGTGGTGTGATGGTGTCTGTTTAATTTGGAGAACATGAACTCCTCCTCATTTTGAACGCCCTTGACCATTGGGCTAACTCTTACACCTAAGTTAAGAGTGTTCAAAATATAATATATGATCATGTGAATTGGTATTCGACCTATATACACAATAAAATTTTTCGGGTGACCACCCTTGGGACAAAAGTAGCTGTGCCACTGTGCCCGATAATTGTGGGACTGGATGCTAGAGATAGTATACGAGGAATAAACGTAAAAGACCCCAGAAGTTGAGGGGTTAAGGATGTAATTCCTTTTGTTTGCTGAATAATGATTTCTGGTCCCACTTTAATTATCGAATAATGATTTGTTGTCTGACTATATTATTATGTGCCCACAGGACTGCTATCTTGTCTATATTCTGACTGAGATGTCTGGCAGTACATCAATGGTTTTCACTCGTACGTGTGATGCAACTCGTCTGCTGGCTCTGATGCTTCGAAATCTTGGCTTGAGAGCTATACCAATTAGTGGTCAGATGACTCAGGTATATATGAACTTCAAGGCATGCATCTTTTCAGTTTGCTGGTTATCATTCCCCCTCAAAAATATCATGTTTTATTGGACAGACAAAAAGGCTTGGGGCTCTAAACAAATTTAAGGCTGGAGAGTGCAATATCCTTATCTGCACTGATGTAGCCAGTCGAGGACTTGATATCCCATCTGTTGATATGGTTATCAACTATGATATTCCAACAAACTCAAAGGTGGATCTTTTTTTTCTTACTGCTTGTAAAGTTGTATACTGATTTTTCTGTTCATTGGGGTGGTCCTGGATTTATCTATGGCGAGGCATGGACCTTTTTTGGTTAGGAAGTTTTTGAAAAACTTTTCGAAGGTGTTGGTTTGTTTTTTGGCTTTCAAAAAATAATACCTAAAACTTCTTCCACTCTCCCTTAATTAAAAAAAACTTTTCCACTCCCAGAACACCCACAAATCTTCCAAAAAACTGCAGCTATCCAGACAAGTTTTCTTTTGCACAAACTTTTACTTCCAAAAAGTTATTTCAAAACAAACTTTTTAAAAGTTGTCCAAACGCTAGATAAAAACTCTTTAGCTGAACCTTAATTATGTAGTTCAGCTTGTTTGGAATTTGAAAAAATCGAATATTAAGTGATTTCTTTCCATATTTCCAACCCTTGGTAGGTAGAGCTACCCAGTACCTGTGCTGGTGTGAGAGGTAGTTGGTACCCGATGGAATTGTCGAGGTGCTAGCAAGCTGGCCCGGACACCACAGTCAAAAAAAATTAAAAGAATATGTCGGTCCTTTGTTTATGCAATAAGATCAATGAAACTTGACTTCATACTCATCATTTCAATTTGAATAATCTTAATTTATTTTCTGATGCGATTTTTAAACAGTCTCTCTGCCCTTCCAATTGCGTACATCCTACCCTCCCCAGACCCACTTGTGGGATTACATTGGACTGTTGTTGTTGTTGATGCGATATTAGCTTATCACTGTATGCATGGCCTGCAGGATTATATACATAGGGTGGGAAGAACTGCACGAGCAGGACGTTCTGGGGTTGCCATATCGTTAGTGAATCAGTATGAGTTGGAGTGGTATATACAGATAGAAAAGCTTATTGGTATGAAAATACAGAAGTATTATATTTCCGAGATTCTAATATATTCTTCTTCTAGCACTTCTAGTCTATCTGGTACATGTTTTCCAAACTAAAAACTGATAATCTTCAGGGAAGAAACTACCTGAGTATCCTGCGGAGGAAGAGGAGGTTTTGCTACTCTTGGAGCGTGTAACAGAAGCCAAGAGGATCTCACAGATGGTAATCTTCGTCTCCTTGTGTTTTTTCCCTTTGCGGGAGGGGGAGGGTGTACTTCAGTGGGCGGCAATCACTAGGTGGTCAGCTTCTGAATGCACGGGTTAAAGACTGTTTAAATTTAGTCAATTAAATCAAGTGAAATGAGCCCTAATTTTTATTATTAGTTTCCCTTTTTAGGACTTAATATTATAGTTGAATTCACCTCTTTCACCATTTTCATTAGGCTCAGGTGTTAATGTTAGAGAGGTAATAAGGTAGAGATAGTGCGAGCATATTTTGATTCTTCGAGTGTGGTTTGGATGTAGAGCTGTTATTCGTGTTATGTGCATTTCTCGGTTGGAGAGGCTGTGGAATGTTGTGAGAGGTGACATGTATACAACTTATTCCATGAAATGTTGAAGTTGCTCATATTTCCTGATGTTTGCATGCTGATACATTATTTTTTTTGGTAATAAATGTGAAATATTACCATAACAACCAAATTGATATGCTCTAAAGCTCAAACCACCTTCTAGGAAGGGTGCTGGGGTCATCTAGGCCTCAACTGGAAAACTAGTTACATAATCTCCGTATCAACACTTGACATCCTCGAGCTCTTTTTGTACCTTGTATCATATCTAGTCTATGCTTAGTTTCCTTCTGTATCTGTTCTTTAACAAAACTTGTATTTGCATTGATGTTCCTAAACTGCTTCCAATTCCTAGCCTGGCAGGTGTAGTATATCATTGCGCCCAGACTGCCATGATCAACTCCTTTTTCAATTGTCTCCAATGCCTTATTTTGATCCATCTTATTGTTCGTCTTACCCCATGCTTCTGTATCTGAATTCCTAACCAGACTAACAACTCTCTCCTTACTTCAGTAACGAGTAACCCATGAACATTCAGAAAGTAAATGATTGAGTTTCAGTCAGCCCCTCACATTAACAACATGCATCTTCAGTCACTGGCACTTGTGTTCTCTCGAGTCTTTCCTTTTTCAGTAGCCTCTCTTGGCTTGCTAACCAAACTATGAATCTTTGCTTTGGTTGCATAAGCCTTGTCCATATTAAATAAACTTTTGTCAGTTTCACCATGTCCCCCTGTAAAGCATTATAACTCATAGATACAGAGTAAGCTCCATTTGATGTCAGCAGATATCTGCCGTCAAGGTACCAGTGCTTCATTTCCAGCTTGAGTGAATGGGGTTTCTCCCAGTACCAGCTGCAGTCAAGAGGTGGTTGAAGATCCCATATATTCACATCATTTTTCATATACAACTCATGCACCCATCTCACCCATAGAATATCCTGCTTCATTGCTAGTTTCCGTAGCAGCTTCTCCATTGATGCCATATTCCATTTTCTACTATTTATATCTAGCGCCCCAAATCGTTTTGGAACACATGTCCCATGCAACCAGTGGCAGTCTCCTGATACATTATTATTGTATAGGTTATTAGTAGTTTATGGAGGATTTTCTCTGCATGTTTTCATGGTCATACATTGCTTAATGGAGTTTTTGGATAATTAACATCCAATCTGTGTTGATACAGAAAATCAAAGAAAGTGGTGGCAAAAAGAAACGCAGAGGGGGAGATGATGGTGACGAGGAGATTGACAGATACATGGGAGTTAAGAACGGGAAACTATCTGGGAAGCTATCAAAGAAGCCAAAGAGAAAATGAGGAATATATAATTAAGCTATATTAGTCCAATTTTGACTTAATTGAGGAATATATAATTAAGCTATTTAGTTCAATTTTTAACTTAATTAGTTCTTTCATTATTGCTTGTTGGGCTGTAATTTGACATTTCTGCAATTCTGCTGGGATGGTTTTGATCTTAGGGACTATTATTTTCCTTTTCTTGTGAAGATCCTTGCCTCCTAATACTAATATACGTGCACACCAAAATGGGGAAAATAGTAAATGATCTTTTAGCAATGTGGCGAGTCCAATTAGCTCTGGACGCCTATTAACCAAGCTTCTAAAATTGCTTTTTTTCAAGAGTGTTTCTCAAAAGTATTTTTGGTGAGAAACAGTTTGTGTTTTGACTAATTAATTCGAAAAGCTCTTCTTAGCAGTAATTAGTGTTTGGTCAAGCTTTTAAATATATTTTTCTCAATAGTGTTTTTCAAAAATAATACTATATTTTTGGAGAAATTACTTTTTTTTGTCTCTCTAAAATAGCTTCTGTTTCTATTCAAAAATATATTTTTTCTTTTAAAACTTTGGCCAAACACTTTAACTTTGAAAAAAAGAAAATGCTTTTCGCCTTGGAGAAGCTTGGCCAAACAAGCCATAAATCAGATCTCAGTGAGATTTATTGCATGTTTGATTTGGGTAATTTTATATGAATCAATTTGTTCTCGAACAAAATCAGTTTTGAAGAAGATGCCTGAAGAATGGAGATAGAGCACAATGATCTCATTGTATAAGAACAAGGGTAATATCCAAATTATAACAACTATAAGATATCAAGTTATTAAGCCATACCATGAAAGTTTGGGAGAGATGGTGGAGCTGAAAGGGGAGGATTGTGTCTATTTCTAAGAACCAATTCGGATTTATGCTGGGACATTCAACCACGGAAGCCATTCACCTTGTTAGGAGGTTGATGGAGGAATATATGGAGAGAAAGAGGGATTTACACATAGTATTCATCGACTTAGAGAAGGCTTACGATAAAGTGCCGAGGAAGGTTTTGTGGGGATGTTTGGAGGCTAGAGCCTAGAGGTGTGCCTATTGCTTATATTAGAGATATTAAGGAAATGTACGAGTGAAGCGAGTGAGGACAGTGGGTGGGGACTTAGAACACTTTCTAGTTATGATTGGGTTGCACCAGGGGTCAGCCTTCAGCATATTTCTATTTGACGTGGCGATCGACGAACTGACGCGCCATATTCAGGGGGAGGTGTCGTGATGCATGTTATTTGCAGATAACATTGTGATGATTGACGAGACGCGCCTGAGGTGTTAATGAGAGGTTAGATGTTTGGAGGCAAACCCTGGAGTCTAAAGGTTTCAAGTTGAGTAGGACCAAAACAGAATACTTGGAGTGCAAGTTCAGTTGGCGCGACTCTCAAGTCATCCATAAGAGAGAGAGTTTCAAGTATCTTGGGTCAGTTATTCAAGGGAATGGGGAGATCGAAAAGGATGTCACACATCGTATTGGGACGGTGTGAATGAAATAGAGGTTCGCTTCTGGTGTCTTGTGTGATAAGAATGTGCCCCCAAGACTTAGGAAAATTTTATAGAGCAGTGATCAGACCGACTATGTTGTATGGGGCAGAGTGTTGGCCAGTCAAGAACTCCCATGTCTAGAAGATAAAGATGACTGAAATGAGGATGTTGAGATGGATATGCGGGCATACCAGGTTAGACAGAATTAGAAATGAAGTTATCCAGGACAAGATGGGCATGACCTCGATGGAGGATAAGATGCGGTAGGCGAGGCTAAGATGGTTCGGGCATGTGAAGAGGAGAGGCACAGATGCACTACCGAGAAGGTGTGAGAGGTTGGCCTTAGAGGGCCAACAGAGAGGTAGGGCCAGGCCGAAAAAGTATTAGGGGAGGTGATTAGGCAAGATATAGCATTGCTCCAATTTACAAAGGACATGACTATGGATAAAAAAGTGTGGAGGTTGAGAATTAAGGTAGAGAGTTAGGTAGTCGAGCTTTGTCTTTGTTTTGTTACAACAACTTTAGTACACCACTTAGTGTCTTTCGTGTGTTTTCGTCTTCCTAGACTTCTCCTATTACGTGATGTTGCCTTCATTTTGGTTTTCTAATTGTAGTACCTACTGTTAGTTTTGTGTTTTGGCTTGGTTTTCTAATTTGTTTGCTTGCCATTTCCCCTCCCCTATTATCTTTTCTGAGCTGAGGTGTTACACCTTGTGTATTCGGCGTTATCATGCTGTAAATGGGGTAATTCGATAGGAAGATAATTTCTATGAGATAATTAAATGATGCGATAGTTATACGTTAAGATTGGAAGTCATTTGAGTTGTGATTAAAAATTCGACAAAGATCGCCGCAAGTTACGAGTTTAAATTTTACTGGAATTTGGATAAATTGTTGATGAGCTTTTCTCTCAATATACTCGGAGTTATGGTGTGTTCTACCTACCGAATCGAAGGTCTATGAGTCTAGTTTCCAACGCAATAAACCGTTCGTTAATAAAACTTTAGAGTAGAGAGATATTAACCTTTTCGTACAGGGGTGCACACTGTTACTGGAACAGTGTGCTTAGTAGGGTTTAGTTAAAAAAAATTTATTTAAGTCATTCTTTAAAACAGAAACCCCTGCATTTTATCCTCTCCAAAACAGAACCTAACACCTAGGGATTTCCTCTCAAACTCCTCCCATCTATCTAGCCAATGATAACAACAATTTAGTCATCCTCAAGATGGAGAACACCATGGT